TTCGAACAGCGCTGCCATGGTGGCGTCGTGTCTGGCCGCGATCCTGTGAGGGTCTTTACCTCAATGGGGCAGAGCAGCCGGAAATCACTTCTATTGGGGAGTGGCAAACCGGCCAAATGTACGGCCTCACCACTGCTGCTGGCTCCGAGCACTGTCAGGGAGTACTCTGAGTCTCAGTGGCTGCGAAGGTTGTGTCAAGTTTTCCTGCCGTTTGGACGGAGGCCGCCGATCGGCCTGAAGCGTGCTCTGATCATTGTCGACCAGTATGAGGAATTGCTGAAGTGTTTCCCAGTTGATGCACTCTATTGCGTTAACTATCTCACAAACATTCAGATCCGCTCCGGCTTGGCCTACGTGATCTTTGTCGTGAATTCAAGCGCATGCACGCGAACTCTGCTGAACCTCAACCAAGGCGACCGCTTCGAGGTGTTGGAGCTAAAGCCTGCTCAAGGCGCAGGAGTGAGGGAGCTTGACGAAGAGCTCTACAAGAAGTGCTCCGAAAACATTGGACTTTACAAGAATGTGATGGCCAAGGGGAGCGCTCAAAAGCCTGAGGACGCGGACGTGGACGACTATATCAGGCTGAAGCTGAAGGACTGGGAAGACGACTTCCACATCCCCTACCCCTTCAAGTACGACAGGTCGTGGAAGAGGCTGGCTGAGGAGTCCGTACCTTTTATGAAGGACAGGCTGGGGCAGGCCTTGGAGCAAGTGCTCCTAGCACAGAAAGGCCAGGACAGCCAGCAGGTCTTCACGCCGAAGGAGGTGGACGAGCGCGTGAAGATCGCCGCGAGGTGCTGGAAGGACCTCAGCAAGATGCAGGTGCTCGACGCCATGGAGCCGGAGTGGGCCAAGCGATTGGAAGGGGAGGGGGCCAAGCCAGCAGTTGCGGAGTCCCTGGCGGAGCACATCCGGCGCCTGATCGGCAACCCCGTCCCAGACCCACCACGGTTGATTGTTCAGAGCTGACCATGCGTTTCGTTTGCGCCAACGACTGTCACAGCTGCCCGTGTGAGACCCGAGGTCCGGTGTCTGTGGACGTTTGCATCGGGAGCCTCACAGTGCAGAGCTCATGCGTGCGAGGATCGGTGGCAGACAAAAGTTGGGTGCGGTTGATTGTTCTTAGTTGACCGAGAGGGCGTGCGTTTGAAACTGCCCAGGTGGACTTTGAAGCCGCTCCCCGCGTTCGCAGAGTCCGGCGCTCTCTTTCGGGGTGCTTTGTTTGGCTCGGGTGGGTGTCAACTTTCCTGCTGGGTGTGTCTGCGTGTGTGTGTGTGTGTGCCCTGTGTGTGCGCTCAGAGTCGCTCAGTTTTTCAGGAATCCAAACAGGGGTCTTGAGGTTCCAGGCTTTGTGCATCGGGGTGAAGTTAGGCTTGGGCTTCGACGCTCCAGGCTTACTCAATTTGTCGTGTTTGTAAAATTCCGTGAGTTGGAAGCTGCGCATCAGCTTGGACACGTGCGATGCCCCGGCCCCCGAGTGCTTGCAGCTGCGATGCTGACGCTGCAGGCCTTCAGGCCACCAGGGCTCGCGTTCGCGACTTGTTGCGTTAGTGTGTGTGCTCTTCAAACCCCATGGCTTCGCGCACTTGGTGTGCGTCCGCACTTGCGTAAAAGAAAAGATTTCATGATCCTTTCTTTGTGCACATTTTGATTTTCCGGAAATGAGGAAATTTATTTGTCTTTACTTTCATGTGAATCTCTTGCTGCGATGCGGTCATGACAACATGTGAAACGCATGCAGCCACAGGGTCAAGTGGTGAGATTTTCGAAGCTCATAGGAGCTGGGTAGTCCGCGGCCTTGGCCGCGCTCGTTGTAGCGGAGGGGCGCATGGGTACCACTGCGCTGCAAAATGGACCCTGAGGCGGAGAGGCGCTGCCGGGAGAAGCTTCAGTCTGCAAAGCTCTGGGGGGAAAACCTAGCTTCCTTTGAGCTTGAAGACACTGGGGCAATAGCGCGGCAGCTGGTTGATGAACTGGGGCTCCCTTTCTATGATGAGGTAGTCGATTGGGTTACCCGGTGCATCGGAGAAGCCAAGATGGAGGCTACCATGTCTGCTAGGGCCAGTGGTTTGTACGGCTCTGACTTGAGATGGAGGGATGTGCAACACAAGACAGTCGAGCCTGCGACTTCGGGTCCAGAGACTCGCCCGGCAGACCTGGCCTTGCCTGCGAAGGGCGAACGAAAACGCAAGCGCAGGCGGGAACTGGAAGCCTCCGAAGGTGACAGGCAGGCTATGGAGCGCCAGGAGCGGGAGAGCCTCTGCATCCGGTTCAGGGTCGTATTGGAGCGCTTCCAGGCCCCTTGCCTGCGCGACTTTTCGAGTGGCTTCGATCAAGAGAAGATAGCCTTGGTTGTTTCTGGCAGGCTTCGTAACAGCAGCCTGAAGAGGTATCTTCGTTTTCTGGAGGAGTTTCTTTTCTGGATGCACAGAGCGAAACTCCGGGATCCCCCTTTTGTGGCGGGTGATGCCATCGACTATCTCTTCATGCTTGCTGACAAACCGTGCGGGCCCACGATACCTGGAGCCTTCTTAAAGTCTCTGACTTGGTTCGAGCGGGTTGCAGGGTTCAGCCAGGACTGTCGGATCTCCTCGAAGACGGTGCTTCTTTCCACTCGGGATATTTTAGTGAAAGAGTTGAAGAAACCCGGGACCCCTATCCACCGGGCCCCGCGTCTACCAGGTGCGGTGATCGCCTCCCTCGAGAGGCTTGTGTCGAACAACCGGGAGGCGATGGGAATCCGTGCCGGGGCCTTCTACCGGCTTCTGAAATGCTGGGGCACTTTGAGATATGATGACGTCCAGCACATGTCACCGCAGGCTGTCCGCTTCTTCTCAGGCAGGTTGACGACCACCCTGTACGAGACGAAGACCAGCGGGCCGGAGAGGCGACAGGTCGAACTCCCAGTCGCAATCACCGAGGACTCGTGGATTTGCAATAGGGACTGGTTGAGAGACGGCTGGCAGCTTTTCCGAGTGCATGCAGATTTTAATCGTGATTATTTTCTTCCGGCGCTGAGTGATGACTTTAGCTGCTTCCGGAGAAGGATGGCCAGCTACTCAGAAGCTGCCACTCTGACTGCTGCTGTCAACAGGCGCCTCACGGATTCGGAAGGCCACAGGTTGATCCCATCTGAGCTGGTCGAGATGTGGACCGAGCACAGCGAGCGGGCAACCTTGCCCACCATCCTGGATGGCTTCGGCCTGGACCCTAGGGATAGGGATGCACTGGGAAGGTGGCGTCCGGAGGGCAGCGACATTTACAGCAGGAGCTTTTCTGGCAAGATCCGTAGGATACATCGGTATTTTACGGCTGAAATCGAGAAGCTGCGGCTTGCAGGGGATATTGATGACTATGACGTGCTTGAGGCTGCATTCTCGTGGCTTCGGGCCAGGAGGGGACTGCCGGCCGAGGAGGCGGATCGTGTCGTGGAAGACTTCCGGGTTTCCTTGGCGGCCTGGACCTCAGATGAGCCGATCCAGCAAGAGTCGGAGGTTGAAGGGGATGCAGCCGTGGAGGAACAGGCCGAGGCTCCTCAAGAGGAGCCCACGGCAGCCGAGCGGGGACCGGGATACGTCTTAGTTTCCTCCAGACGTGGTGCCATCAGGTTGCACCGTTCAGGAAAGGAGGGCTGCTGGATGGCGCGGCTGAGGCACTTCAATGAGTGCAAGGTGGTTTCGGAGATGCCGGAACCGGGTGAGTACTCTCACCGATGTAAGCTCTGCTGGCCAAACTCCGAAGGGGTGATAGGCTCGAGCGATGACTCGAGTGAGGAGTCTTCCGACTCCGATGGAGAGCGGAGCGAGGCTCCGGATGACACGGGCACAAGTCCCCCGAGGTCATGGGATCGCGTCACCATGGGGTGAGGTATGAGGAAAGAAGGGTCTGATCCCCTTTTCTTGCAGTGTGGGGAAGCATTGCGTTGCACTTGAAGTGCATGGGCCAGAGAGTGATCGGAAGCGAGTCCTTCCTTGAGGAACCATGGATGTTCGATCCGTGGCATGGGACCCAAGGCCTTGGGGCGGGGTAGTCGGATGCCATGGCAGCTGACGCGCTTGAGCGCGGCTCCAGTGACCTCAGATTTCTGCTTCTGCGTCAGGGGATAGAGGATGATCACCAGCGGAAGCTTTTTACTGCAGGGGTGGATACGCTGGATAAATTCAGCGCTTTTGCGACCGGGGAACCCGATCTGCTTGCAGTACTGAAAGAGGAGTTTGGGCTGGACCCTTCGGCAAGTCTAGCGGCCAGGGGGCAAGTGGCATCTTTCATCGCAGCCTGGAAGGCATCCAAGGTACGGGTGCAACGGCAGGCCGAAGTGGAAGCAGAGCCGGACACCCGGGAATGGACAAAACCCATTCCCACGGCGGAGTATCTTCTGCTGCGACAGGCCTACGTCAAGGCGCATGGCACCCTGGATGAGCGAGTCCTGCCTTCTAAGGAATTTCTGGAGAAGAAATTACAGGAGGTGGAACACGGCGAGTTCAAAGCTGAATCCCTGCAGGAGGTCACCACGCGTGACGAACTGGATCCAGATACCTTGGTTCCGGTCTGGGACTCGAAAGGAGTTATGACAGTAAAGCGTGGCAGCTCTCGGGTCCCCCTTCCCTCAAATCCTGAGGAACTTCGGCGACGCTTGAACATTATGCGGAATGCTTATCTCATGTTGAGGCTAAAATTTCCGGGGCGCGCGGACCTGCAGGACATTGGGGCTGACCTCTTCGAACGGTATAAGGAATATCTTCTGGGGGATTATGTCCACAACTTGCAGGCGCGGGATTCGGCGGACAGCGTTGTTCACACTCCGCCTTGGCAGCTGGTCCTCTCCTACGAGCAGGCCATCCGGAAGCAAGCTTTCCATTACATGGTCACGGAATCGATAGCCATGGGAGCAGCCTGGGAGAAGGCCTGGAAGGACCCGGTGACGAAGGAGCGGCATTTCGCGACTCCTCTGTCACTCTACGCCAAACGGAAGCCAGACCCACCCCCGAATCTGCCTCCTCGTGATACCTGGATCGCAAGGCCGCCTGGCAGAGGTCAGAAGGGAGGCAAGGGTCAGAAAGGGCGAGGGCGTGGGGGCACGCGTACATTCAAGGGACATGCGGCTACCAGGACCGGGGAGCCCATTTGTTTCAGGTTCAACACGGAAGAAGGTTGCTCCCTTGCGAATTGCAAGTTCAAACACCTGTGNNAACCATAACTTCATTGGCTGCCCGAAGCGCAAGCCTGCCGACACGGCGGGGAAGCACTGACTCGGCACTGACGGGGGTGTGGGGTTTCACGGTGGCGAGCTCCGGGTTCTTTATCTGTTCTGCGGTAAGCAACGCAAGAGCTCATTGGAATCCTGGCTAGCCGATTTAGCATCAACGCGGGGCGTCGCACTCAAGGTGGATGCCATCGACATTATTCGCAAGCCTTTTACTGATTTGTCAAATCCGAAACATCAGGACTTTTTCCTTTCGCGGGTTCGTTCGGGGTGTTACTTTGCTGTGGTCTTGAGTCCTCCCTGTTCGACCTTCAGCAGAGCACCGTGGCGCAACAACCGCGGACCTCGGCCGCTGCGTTCCTACGACCACCCCGACGGGCTTCCAGGCTTGCGCTGGGGCGAGCAGCGCAAGGCTCGGCTGGGCAACACCCTTGCCGACTTCTCCATGCGCGTGGCAGCGGCGGCACTGCACCTGGAGCACAGCTACGTGTTGCTCGAGCAACCTGAGGACCTTGGGGCGGTCGCAGCCGGCTCACGGCCGTCGTCTATGTGGCAGCGGGCATCCTTTCGGGCCATCGCGGATCACCCGAGAGCTCTGCACGTTGCCTTCCACCAGGCGGATTTCGGTACACCATACCCGAAGCCAACGCGGCTGCTGCTGGCGACGGGGCAGCCACTTCCGGACGCTATGCACCGTGGCTTACCTTCCTTCGACGACCTCGGCTTCTATAAAGGACCGCTGCCACGGCATGCCACAGCTGGCCGGATGAAACCACGCTCAGGTGCTGCCTTCGCCACTACAGGCACGGAACAGTGGCCTTCGGACTTCTGCAAATGGGTTGCGACTTCCATCTTGGATGATTTCCTCAGCCCTGCCTCCACTGCTGGCGTTGGGGACTCTCAAAGCTCGGAGACAGAGGCCTCGGACGATGAGACACCGAATACGGGGGGCAGGGTCTTTCGCTTCAACCCGGTCACAGAATCAGCCAAGGAGACAGGGGGCCGACTGGGAGAGACGGAAGAACTGTCACTCAGGTGCTTAAAGAGGGGCTACGTTACAGGCGCCGAACTGCTGGAGCTATCGGGAAGGCTACCGGACGAGACGCGGATAAGGGAATCTGCGCTGGAGGTGGAGGGGCAGAGATCCTTCACCACGGGGGCCTATGTTCACAAGGACAACGTAGGACTGAGGCGGAACCTTCGGAACCACCGCTGGACTAGTGAGCTTCTGGCGAGGGTCCTGGCGGTCTCATTCCCGGGGAAGCCTTTCTCTTCTCTGGCGCTCTTCAGGGACCTCAAGCAACCGGCGCACCGAGACTCGACGAACGGTCCATGGGAGAACCTGCTCCTGGCCTGCGCAACCTTTGAGGGGGGTGGCATCTGGGTTCAGGCCGATGAGGGGCCGACCAAACGTCAGGTCCTCAACAAGGAGATGGGGGGACGAGTACTGGAGAAGAGAGGCAAGATCACCTTCGATGCGCATCGCTGGCACTCTACGGAGCACTGGACTGGAACGAGGCTGGTCTTGGCGGGCTATACGATCGCGGGCGTGGAGAATCTCGGAGCCGAAGACCGTGGTCTACTACGGAGTCGGGGCTTTGCCCTAGACCCCACACCGGGGAAAGCCCGGGAACCTGGCCTCCAATTCCTGGAGGAGAAGGGCCAGCCAGAGTATGCCGGGAGCCTTGGGGAAGCAAGCCCTTCCATGATGGGGCGGGGCTTTGCTCGCCTGGGAGATGGGACCCCTCGAAACGCAAGTACTGCTGCGCGGAAGGCTGGGAAGATCTGCGGCTGAAGCTGGATGACATCCTCCTGGAGCACGCGGGAGGTGACGCGCAGCTGGACAGAGCCCCCTTCGAGATGGCGGCGAAGGGGGAACTCGGCTGTGGCTTGGTCTCGGACCCAGCCCTCCATGGAAAGCTGATCGGGGCGATGGTGGCGCACCTCCAGCAGAAGGACCCTGGCCAAGGTGACCTGGATGACGTGGACCCGGGTCAGCCCTTCCGACTTCGCCTCATTTCGGCCCTTTTGAAGGATGCGTCGGATCCGGATTGGGGGG